AAAACACGGACCCCGGGAATTCCAAAGGTGGGAATAGTTGCCTAGAATGAGTAAGCATCCGTTGTCGACTGGACTTATCCGCCCTTGGCCCTATGTATTGATCAGATAGTTAGAGTATTCTGTAGTCAAAGAAGATGGGTGAACATGACGAGCCAAAAGCCTATAGTGTGACAAACATGAAGGTGAAAAATTAAATTTCAATTATATCAAAATTTTCCTTGGTATTTCATCTAACATTAAAATATACTTTATGTAAAATCTCTACAATTTGCAAAAATCCCTCAAAGATTGAAATTATTTGCCTATGAAATATTATAAACACACTAAAGCGGGAAAAACGAGTCATTTTCTCATACCATAACACTATTTTTTGATATGAGTGGATCTTCGCTCCACTTTTTTGAAAGTTAATCTTCAAAAATTGCATAAAATATACATTTTTTGGTTACAAAAATATGGAGCAAAGACCCACTATACTATGGCATGTCAAACGTTGCAATATTCGATCTTTTGCATTTGCATTGTATAATTTTCCATTTGCATTGTATAATTTTTATTTGTATTGTATAATTTTCTATTTGTATTGTATAATTTTTCATTTGTATTGTATAATTTTTATTTGTATTCTATAATTTTCTATTTGTATTGTATAATTTTCATTTGTATTGTATAATTTTTATTTGTATTGTATAATTTTCCATTTGCATTGTATAATTTCTTATTTGTATTGTAAAATTTCTTATTTGTATGCGATAATTTTTCATTTGTATTGTATCCGCGGACTGTTTATTTGTTTCGTTACGAAGGATTTCATTGGTCAAGTTTCAGCCTGTATCGGGTTGAAGATGTTCCGGATGCTCAAAGCAAACTGGGCTCATATGTATTTGCTTGATTGATTGATTGATTATTGTTTAACGCCGAGTCGGCAATATTTCAGCCATATTTCGGCGGCATATGTATTTGCGTGCATGTTAGACGGTCATTGGATTCTAAAAAGGGAGCGCTGGTAGATGGCAAATAAATAATCTGTCCTTAGGAATGCTGACTGAGAAAATAAATAAATTGACCTTGAGTGGTGGTAACTACCCCCACCCCCAAAAAACTGAGTTTTCGGGTTTGGGCGGATTTTCTTCTTTTTGTTTTTCTCCTTGTCTCTGGTCATATTGGAAATAAATATTCTCTCCTGCGAGAGAATGAAAATAAATAATCGGATTCGACACCCCCCCCCCCCCCGAGAATCAAATGGTCGTCCCTTAGCATGCACCGCAAATAGAGGAGCCGAGTTTGTGTTTGTAGAGAGTGCGCAATCGGAATTGTGGGAAGGGTACCAGACTAAGTTTGTGATGGGCACCTGAGACCTTTATACAGACTAAATTTTATGACCAATGACATCCTTCGTAACGAAATAAATAAACAATCCTCGGATACAATACAAATGAAAAATTATCGCATACAAATAAGAAATTATACAATACAAATAAGAAATTATACAATGCAAATGGAAAATATAGAATACAAATGAAAAATTATACAATACAAATGATTTTTTTTACAACACAAATGGAAAATATAGAAAACAAATAAACATTATACAATCCAAATGGAAAATTATAAAATCCAAATGGAAAATTATAGAATACAAATAAAAATTATACAATACAAATTGAAAATTATACAATACAAATGAAAAATTATACAATACAAATGAAAAATTATACAATACAAATAAAAATTATACAATACAAATGGAAAGTTATACAATACAAGTGGAAAAGATCGAATATTGCAACGTTTGACATGCCATACTATACCTTAAAAATATACTTTTATGACACAACATTCGCATCTTTTCGAGAAATACTTGAAGTCCATTAAGTCAAGGGTCTTATCACAAACATGATTTAAATGCCACTCTTCATCAGGACTTGTGTAGTCTAGTGGTTAGCGTGCTAGTCTCGAAAGAAAATGATTCTCAGGATTTTTATTGCTAGGGTTCGAACCTCACGAATACCACATTATTTTTTTAATAAAAGAATAAATTTTGCCGAGAAAATTTTCCTCAGAAAAGTTTTGCTTATCATAAATTTCAATAAACGCTAGATACTAAATTCACAAATTGAACATGATTTTTCATATATCCTAAGCTATAAGCTTTCTGCACGCTATGTTCGCCCATCTTCTTTAATGTAAAGCAAATGTCTACCAATTGGTATGAAATATTTCAGTCAAATAACGACCTGATGATAAGTTATATTTTCAAAAATAAGTCATTTTTTCGACCATAGAATTTACAAAATGCTGACTTTTAACGAGGATTTGGAAATCCTTGTGAAATCAACTTATCTGTCAGTTGCTTGCTTCGGTTTAAAAAATGACTCAATCAGAGTCTTGTGTATTGAATACTTTGGGAGACATAAACACCATATGCAGGTGATAGAGAATCATATTACTACATAAATACATGTAAAGAAAGTTGAGGGTGGAAAAACTAAACTACAGTTTAGTTGCTAGTTAGTCCTTATCGTCTATAATAGTTATCCATCTAAATATGAAAGAGATGTGGCAGACTCTGTGGTGTCTTTCATTTTCGAGTTCAATGGGATATATCAAGTGAACATATGAGTGGAAGAAATTATTGTCAATTGATGAAACGTCGTCGATATAAATGAATAAAGAGTAGAAGGCCACGGCAAGTGTTATCTTCTTCTCATGAAGAAGTTTTTGAATACATTCTGCTTGTTAGGAATAGAATAGAATAAAAAGAACAGAATTTTTTCTATTTATGGAGTACAACAACAAACGACAGATAGAAAAAAACTTATACAGAAAATAACCAAAAATATCTAAGAAGATTTCGATTGTATTTTCAAAATCAGCTATGAGGTTTTTTTCTTTCGTGCATAAAATTTCAAGAGCATACATAAAAAAGTTGAAAATGAACGATCTCAATAAACCTACAAGCAAAAAAAAAAAATGTGTGAACAGCGCATAAAACACGTACCCCTGGAAATTTCAGAGGTGGGATCTGGGGCCTAGGGGTAAGCACTCCCTGTTGACCGGTCACACCTGCCATGTATTGATCAGGAAGATGGATTTATCCGTAGTCAAAGTAAGTGTAAAAACAAAAACAAAGGCCTTACAATTGGGTACAAGTCGAAATATAACGCAATGACACGTTTTTGCTAACAAAGGCATTATAACAACTATAGAATTTAAGAATTTGCTGACTTTAAACGAGGTTGATGAAATCACTGTAATATCATCTTTTTTAACAGTAGCCTGTCTCGGTTTAAAGATTGATTATACTCTTGTTCTTAAGTGCCGAATAAGTTGGAAGACATATACAACAGATGCAGGTCACATTGGAATATTGCTACATGCATAAGGAAAGTTGAGGTTAATAAAGCTGAAGTCATCTTGTTTATCATAAAGTTCAGTTGTTAGTTAGCCTTTATTTCATACTTTCTCTTTTTTAATACATGTATTTTAAGACCCTCTCTCAAAAAGACCATCAGTTAATCATAACGTTATATACATACAATAATGACGTCCGTCTACTAATTAGTTCTTTTAAAAGGTAAATATTTTTTTTTTTACCTCTGATTTCTTAATTTTGTTAAATTTGATAAACCATGATAAAAATATTTGTTTTAAAAAAGCAAATTTGTTTTTCAATATACTGTACAAAGCATTGCACAATACAAATTTCAGTCGGCCCTCTAAGGCACACTTAGACATTATTTTATTTTAAATCAGCATATAGGGTCGCAAATTATAAACGCAAATACAGTGATAACCATTCTAATGGGATTTTATTCTCATTGATCAGAAAATAACTATCTTTTCATTTGTTATGTGTGACCGTTAATGCAGTCGCAATCTGAGTTTTACCATTGACGCATAAGCGGGGTCATACATGTATATTTGTGACTAGCAATTAACATTTATGATAGTTGATGCCCGCAATGTCTTTTTCTAGTGTTACTTTGTGGTGTCTATTATCTCGCGTTCAATGGGATATTTATCATATCCATGTAGGAATAAAAATGAATAATGCTTAATGCTTACTTCGTCGATATATCAAAATGTCCAATAGAAGGTCATAGCAAGAGAATTCTTATTTTCATGTAAAATGTTCTAAACATGTTCTACGAACGAACAAATTTCTAAAACAAGGCAGGCTTCTGTAAAACAAATTGATGATACAAGGTTATCAACAATTTAATTAAAAGTCAACATTTCGTAAATTCTATAGTCGATACAATGACTTTGTACATACAATTTATCCTTAAGTCGAATGTTAACTGACGTTCTTCATACGAATAGTTAGGCCATTAGTTTCGTATTTTTCCGAACTGAATTGTTTGCGGATTTTTCCGTTCAACCGATCACGACAAAGAGCATAATGCGGATGCGACCGGTCGACAGGGGATGCTCACTCTTCTCCATGGCTCCTGGTCCCACCTCTGTTCTCAGAGGTCTGTGTGTTTGCTTTCCTCCTAATTTGTAGTGTTAAATGTGATTTTGATCATGATTATTATTTGTTATTTTCACATTCCACTTCTCCTCTTTGGCACCTGATCGCACCTCTTGAGTTTTTACAATTTTTTGTGGTTTTCATTATTTGGAGATTGATCATTTTCCGTTTTATTTACATTTATACGTAGAAACTTTATTCATAAATGATAATTACGCAATTAAGAAACATTTTTTGAAAAGATTCGTCAAATTAAGTAATTTAAGCCTTACGATAGTTTTCTCTCTTTTTTAATCAGTGCACGTGATTCAGATGAAAACTGAACAAAACAAAAATTAAATAGACTGCACTTTAAACATACAATTATATTACTCACCCTTTTGACATACTATATGTTCCCTTTTGCTTAAAATTTTGCCAATTACTGAACTGTATACCTTGTCGTATTTAGATGTTTGTATGGCAGAATATGAATCGAGATTTAGAACAAACATAATAAGTCCTGCAAATTCTGATGGATCTCATGACCACGGACTTTTCCAGATTAATGATTATTGGAATTGTGATCCTCAAAATGGACATACCACCAAGAATGGCTGCAATGCGTATTGTTCAGGTAACGTAATTATGTATATGCCACTATTGAGCAAGAAAAAATGCAAACACCAGTGGAGTCAAACATAATTCGAACAGTAAAACCTCTCTACTCAATGTGTTGTTTTAAAGCTAGAAAAAATATATATCTCTGTTAGCAAACCTATTTTCAAACTGGCATAATGGATAATTTAAAACATACTTCATATATTTTTAAGTAAGAAAAATCTTGTTAAAATCATCGGCAATATAAGAGAAAAAAAAGTAAGAATCTAAAATGATTTTAATGGTCATTACACTTCTGCATAATAATTCTAACTTTAAAACAAGTATACTTAGTTTATGCATTTACCATGACCACAACTGCAATGACGTAACATAAATGCGTGGATGGAATTAAAGACTGATTATTAAATTGACAGATTTTTTTCCTTCAATTTTTAAATCTATATTTTTTCAATTTAATCAGATTCTTTAATAGAAATTATGAGGGAAAAAGAAACGTGGTTCTGCACCCTTTTACAAGTTGAACAATTGATTTCTCTCTTATTTAATAATTTGTCATAGCTGCCAGAAAATCAAACTGATATACAGGAGATTACTTACTGTTATCTCTTCCCATTTCCCTAGCCTCTCACTGTGTTACCAACAAACAGCAATTTAAATGGATAGAAATCTTATCTGATAGATCTATTAGTTTGTAATTGGACAGTCAATAGAAACAGATGTGTCTCCAAAATGAATCAATAGTTATATGTTACAGTGTCCAACATTCTAAATGCAGGAAAAGTCGGCTCGACATCTGGATACATCTTTTTAATAACTCAGCTCTGGGTCTTTTATTTTATAAAAAAAATTCAAATGATTTTTTTAGTATCAAAATTAATTGAAAGGATATTAATCACATATCCAAAGTTACTGTAATTTTTTTTTAGATTTGATATATTTTTGATTTATTGAATAATGTCATTTGTAATTGTAATATTAATTATTACTTTAAAATTAATAACGTGCAGGTCTGCTACAGTTTTCCTCTAATAGATTTCAGAAATGACGATATATCTGATGACATCAGGTGTGTACAACAGCTGAAGAGAGAACATCATGGATTTGGATTTTCGTAAGTTTAGAGGGAATGTTTTTTTTTCCAGAAATTTTAAAACCTCCAGACTTGTTATATATGTATTAGTCATAGCTATACTATTTTATTTAGATTTTACCGAATGTTTGCAACATTTAAAAGTTAGCTAAACTTAAAAAGATTTTTTTTCTAAACCTTTCCTAAATCAGCTGCTCGCGTTATGTTATATTTTTTACAAACCCATCGACATATTCGCATAATATATTGAAAACTTATTGTGTTTTCTTCCTTTCATGCTTTTTTACTTGAAAAGTAAAAAGTGAATAGATAGTTTTCAGTAGGCCCAAATTAGCAAGAGTTATTTCCTGCTGGCCGCCATATTGGAGATCAACATGATCTTATTTCTTCATTATTCAACCAACTTAATTTAACTTTTTATACTGGCCATTGTGGGATAGGAAACATGGTTTTTCTGAAAAAATATACATTTGATAAAGCCTCAATTATCTCATAATTTTTGTTCTATAAAGATTTTACCCCAAATATTTTTGCTACACCTCTTAGAATAGGTAAGACAAAGAGGAAAAATTACCAGGTTGACCATCAAGATGGCGGCCAAAGGAATTAACTCGGAGAGAAAATACGTCATATGAAAACTATCTATTGAAAATAATTTATAAGCGACGTTATATTCTCTATCTTAGCAACGAATTATGTTCTTCTTTCCACTGATTATACGTAGTAATATTATTTTAATGTGCCGTGTATTTAAAGATTTGTGGTGCTGAATAAGATAATCTAATTATTTCACTCTCCTTCTTCTTCAGGTATGCGTGGAGATCCTACTGCCAGCATATAACGTCTGACTATCTCAGAGGATGTTCTTATTAGGATGATTTCATCTATCACTAATTGATTACAGAAGCATGAAAAGAACGGTTGATTTAATCGTTTAAATTTGAAAATAAAGGATAATTTACAATAACTTTTTTCCTAATATCATTACAACAATATTTTATCCTTTCAAAATTTTATTGAATTACTAAATATGTGTTACATTATGTATTAAAAAAAATTCAAAAGAAATCAATATTTTTTTTGGAAATACACAATGTTATAATGCAAATATAAACATATAAAATAAACACAATTTTGTCATTGTAATTTTCGGAGAGGGGGGGGGGGAGAAAGAGAAAAAAGGAGAAAGAGGGAGATGAGTTAAAAAAGAATGTGGATGACAGATAAATAGAGGGGGAAGCAAAGCTAATTTAAAGACAGTGTTCATTAATGTTAGGATGAAGTATGGATTGCCATTTTTGCCAGGAGGTGTTAAACTCATTTATTTTATTGCATTCTCTGGCTGTACATTTCAATGACTTATAAAGAATTTTGAAATCATTTAGAAAACCATGGATAGAGAGGCTAAGATTTTGACAACATACTCTGTAAATGTATTTCTTCATTGACATAAGCAAAATATTTAAAGATTTTGATGATTTTGTATTATTTATATCACCAAATATGACAGTTTTACAATCTAAGTTTTGTGAAATGTCTTTTTGGTGACAGAATCTAACAAAACCATATAGAAATTGCTGTACAGCTGGACATTGGCAAATTAAATGATATATTGTTTCTTCCTCCGCTTCACAAAATGTACATAGATTAGAGTCTGCTTTACCTATTTTAAACATAACACTATTGGTGGTCAATATATGATTGATTGATTCTATATTGAAGCTATGTTAAAACCATTGTAATTTACTTTTTTGGGTTGTTAAAAAAGGAAGATAGTAAATTTCTTTCCAGTTTTCCATAACCACAGGTTTTATTTCTGATTTATTTAGCATGAAATATGAAGATAACATACAGTATTCAATTTCGAAAGTCCAATGAAACGATACAAATTTGGAGCAGAGCAAACACGGACCTCAATATTTAGAGGAGGGATCAGATGTCATGGAGGAGTGAGCATCCCCTGCCGACCGGCAACACCCGCCGTGTGCTCCTTGTCATGATCGGGAAAAAAACCCCGAAAAAATCTGTCGACAATTCAATGTATGAATAATGACCTAACAATTAGTATGAAAAAGGTGACTAAATGATAGGTTGTATGTGCTGACAAGGTCATTGTATAGACCTTAAAACTTGCGAAATGATGACTTCAAACGAGACTGTTGATATCCTTGTTTCATCAACTTGTTTGTCAATAACTTGCCTCGTTTTAGAAATTCTTCATACGTAAAGCATGCTCTTGCGTATCGAATCAACTGAGTGACATAAACCCCATATGCAGGTGTTAAGGGTATATTGCTACAAAAGTAAGGGAAGTTGACGATTGAAAAGTTGAAGTCATCACGATTATCATAAAGCTTTGTTGTTAGGTTACCATTAACGTCTTTTTTTAGTAAAATATCTAAATATGAAACAAATGTGTCAGATTCTGATGTTATCTTTTATTTCAAGCTCACTGGGATATATCGAGTGACCATGGGAATTCCAACAGATCGTTGGAAGACCTGATCTCCAAAAACTATATAGATATTCTCAATCAGAAACTCAAGCATCTTTTTAATATCAACTTCAGAATACTTATGTGTTCAATCAGAGTGCTTTTTGATAAATTAATTTTGTAGATGACCAATGACAAGGTAAGTATATTTACGAGTTCCATTTTTTATTGAAAGAGCAGCTGTCAATGATGTCAAAAAGCCCGGACTTCAATTTATCGTGGGGAATGGTTGTATAAAGTGTTGGAAAGTCATACGTTTTGATGTTATTGATTTAAGTAAAATTTTGTGATTTCAAATTTTCCAAAAGTTCTTTGGAGTTTTTAAGTATCCACATCTGATTTACATCACTTCTCGAATATACAGTTGTACAATACTCCTGAAGTTTCTCCTTTATTACAGTAAATATTTCATACATAGGCTTTGTTCCTTCTTTGGTTAACACAAAGACTTTGATATTGCATGTGTCACGTGGTCAAGCTGGCTATCTCCAAAAATCACACAAATTCAACTAAGTTTTAACAAATTTATTTACAAAAGAATAATAATAAAGCTTTCACATAAACAACCACACTCTGATACACACACTCTTCCACACTATTAAATAAACCAAAAAAAAAAAAAAATAAATAAATAAATAAAAATAATAATAGCAATTGGTAACCAATAATCAGACAATTAAACACTAAACCAATTAACCTATCAACCAATTAACCCCGGGTATAGATTTCACTCAAAGTATCAATGCCAAACATATCCCACTGGAGTCGTCATCTCCATATCAATGATTATCATTGTCATCATCACCATCATCAGCATCATCGTATGAACGAAACCATGTCAGGTTTGCCAATACGTCAGTGTTCCTATATCGAGCTACACAATGTTACGTGGATTGACTTATCTGTATCTGTCCAACATCACTGAATCTTGACCCACACACAGCATCCTTCCGGGCCTTAGTCTTGGAACCTTTCTCTGTGTCTCGACGATCCCCTCAGCTTAGTGCATGTATCCAGCACATGTCATACCAGTATCCTTGACGATGCAATGACGAATATTTCACATGTTTCACTAAATAATGTTTGGCAATACTACTATGTTTTGCCATCCATTCTCATAAATAAATAAATCAATCAATAGGTATAAATTATAATGGTTACCAGTTAACATAAGTCAAAACAAATTATTGCCAACATGGCGCACCTTACTTTCAACTTCCGGTCATTCACTTTCGCCCAGACATTTCAATCAAAATTTAAATGGACAAAATATTTCACATAATGTAACAAATCTGAATACAAGAAAAATTGCGTATAATAACACCTTTAAACTCTATCGATATAATACACAAAAGTCATTCGAACACTCTCGCAAACCGTCACACCTGAGTGAACAACAGGTAAAATGGTGAGAGCTGGCCAAGTTCAG